GATTAATTCTAGTAGACCTGGAATTAGCCTGAGCTGTTGTGCTCAAGTTCCTGCATGGCTCTGACTCATTGCCAAGGCCATGAAGCACACAGATGAATATTGTTGCTTTTTAATCATGGATTTGAGGAGGTTCAGGGAGATCTGTACTAGCTTGTCAGTAGTTTCTATTAAAAACAGTGAGATAGATACTTTGCACCTGGTCTCAGTGAGCCCCTCAGAGAGCTCTGTGGGTAGAGCTGATTATGCCGTAGGAATATGCTGTGTGGCTAGCAAAATGTAAAAATCCTCAACTGAAGCTGGGCATGCCTATGATCCAGCAACTAGGAAGGCTGAGGCAAGAGGATCACAAGTTTGAGGTCAACCTCAGTAATTTAGTGAGGCCCTTAGCAACTTAGTGAGACCCTGTCTTAAAAAATAAAAAGGACTGGGATCTAGCTCCATTGTAAAGTCCCCCCCAGGGTTAAAGATTCAGTACCAATAAATAAATAAATAAATAAAAATTTTTAAGAATCTCAGCTGAGCCTCCCTCTTGGACTCCCAATTTCCAAAGTGCTTCATGCACACATCAGTGATTTCTGATCCAAGGGGTAAAATGTGTCAAGGCATATTCCTTACAGAAGGGAGAACAGGGGTCCTATGCCTGGCCTCTCTAGATCCCTTATGTGAATTGTCTTTGATAATGACACACAATCTCACTTTATAGCTATTTGCCATATTGTATCCATTTCTTAATACAAACTATAGATTTCGGATTTGGTGAATCTTTAGCCATGGAGACCTCTTCTACTTCATAGGACTATGACTGCCTTTGGACACTTGTGTTCAATTCAATAGTCCAAATGGACTGTTTTTCTATGACCTAGTCCCCAAGAACCATACAGCTATACTCTCAGCATGTTCTTTAGAACATTGAATGGAGTCTCTTCTAGACACCATCTACATTATCTAGGAAACTTCAAGATACTTACAATTCCCCTATGATTTTGGCCTTCTGATGAGTTGACTCTTTTTTTTTCCCCCCCTGGTACAAGAGATTGAACCACTGAGCCACATTCCCAGCCTTTTTTTTATTTTTTATTTTGAGACAGAGTCTCACTAAGTTGCTTAGGGCCTCACTAAATTGCTGAGGCTGGCCTCGAACTTGTGATCCTCCTGCCTCAGCCTCCCTGGGATTACAGGCGTGTATCACCGAGCCCAGCTGAGTTGACTCTTATTGGCACCATCCCAGTTTCCCAGCAAACTTCAGAACTTGTCGTTTTTCTTTATAACATGTTGCTTAGCACACTGATTGGGGAACAAGAAGGGCACAGAGGCTGTGGTGTTGGAAATCACTCATCTGGAACTGAAACCACCAAGAATTATGACAAGGATAGTGAAGGTAGTGTCTGTAATGCAGGAGCAAGAGGGACCCCAACACCTGTAGATGACGGCAGTGAGCAGGGCTGGTCCACTCCAGTGACGGAAGATTTCAAGTCAGAGGCTTAAAGAAGAGAGAAGAGAATGGCCTTGAGGCAAGGTGAACCCTCGCTCCAGGTTCAGGGGCAGGAGGGAGTGAGTGTGGGAGCCACAATTCACCAAAGGAAAACCAGGATGCAGTCATTGGAGGGCTCAAGTATAGATGCTGGTGGGTGACAGCCAGAGTGGTACAGGCCTTGAAGGGACAGGCACCAGGGTTCATGATACCTAGGCTCCCTGGTGGAGGGGCCGTGTATTGTCTCAGTGACGCATCTCATGCATCTGTCTTATACCTGTAATTGAGCAGGTGCTCAGTCCATTTCTGTGCAAAGATAAACGAACAAGTGACTCTCTAGCACTGAAACTGGAACAGAGCCATTTCATGCACACTGCCATTCTTAGTCTCCTGAGCCAATCCAGGTGTCTGAATGTCAGGTCATCCGTCTGTACTATGAAAAAGTGGAATCTGTGGACTGGAAGCAGGAGTCAATTACAGGCCACAGCTGGGGACAGGTGGGTAGGAGAGGGGCAGGAGACAGTGGGTAGGAGGACAAAGAGCAGGGTGTGGGTTTAGAATGGGATCACAGAGGAGTCTATCATTTCACGTATGAGGTGGTGTGCTCCCATGGATCTTTCAATGGGAAGTCTAAAGTCCTGTCACTGATGTGCTGGGCACGCTGACTCGTGGACTGAGATCTCAATGCCATTTCATTTTAGTTACAGACCTCTGCACTTGAATCAGCAGGGATAATCTTCCCCACCCCTGGATGAACACTACTCCCGGCCCTTGCCATCCCTTTTCCTTAGCTAAGGAACAGTAGGTGCTCCCACATGTGACATACAGTTCTAAGCTGGTACAGAACATGGTGGGCCTTGTAGTGTTGATTCAGGGGAGTACCAGGTGTCACTCTGGGGGCAGAGATCCTGTACACATAGAAAGAGTTGTGTAATATGGAGTCTGTTTTTCCCCCTCCCATTTCCTTTCACATATTTAGATCACTGGCATGATTAGGACGTTAAGTTGCCACGTAAGGGCGTATGGCAAAGATGAAACTACAGCTGCAGAGATGAGGTCCCACATTTATTCAGTTTTTGGCATTTGTGGAGATTTTACAACAGAGCTGCAAATTCTTTGGCACACCTCTAATAAGGAATTTGGGGTGTAGGGCTCCTCCCCCTGAGGGTAGGTATATGACTGCTTCCACCAAAGAGCGTGGTACTGTGGAGCTTTGTCACATGAGGTCACACAGCCTCTGCCTCACTCACTGGAAGCTGGCTCTGGGAGCCACAGCTGCCGTGCCACGTAGCCACCTTGGCCTCATTCAGACCCTCAACCCAGAGCCCTGTGTCTCATCATCCAGTGAAGTGGGCACAACGCAGATGAACAGACCTGGGTTGGCCAGCTAGGAGAAGGCCATACCACATGGGTTTGTGGGCTATGCAACATCACGACTGCTTGGTTTTGCTGCTGTAGCACAAAAACAGCCATAGGTGATACTCACACGGGTGACTCTTCCTGCAGGGCGCGATGGCACATACCTATAATCCCAGCAGCTCCAGAGGCTGAGGCAGGAGAATCGACAAGTTCAAAGCCAGCCTCAGCAACAGTGAGGCACTATACAATTCAGCCAGACCCTATCTCAAAATATATTATAAAAAAGGGCTGGGGATGTGGCTCAGTGGTTAAGTGCTCCTGGGTTCCATCCCCAGTACAAAAAACAGCAGCAACAACAACAAAAAAACCCACCAACTATATTCCAAAACCACTGACACAAAGAACAGGCCACAGACTCTCTAGTTTGATGACTCCTGTGTTAGATAACTCTAGATACCAGCATTTGAGCTTAAGGCTTCCTGGAGGACATCTCTGTGCTCTGTCCATATCTCTGACCCACAGAATGCTCGAATCTCATAAAGTGACTGATGCTTTACTCCTACTATGTTTTGGGTGGCATGTCACATAATGACAGAAAACTAGAAGAGCACTGTATAAAGCAAGCCTCATTAAGAAAGTGAGATTTGAGTATCTACATGTATATACTCCCTGCTACTTGGAGGCTGAGGCAGCAAGATCTCTGGAGCCCAGGAGTTCAAGGCCAGCCTAAGGTAACATTGGGAGACACCATCTCTAAAAACTAAGAAATAATAATAATAATTTTTCAACATGTACTTAGAGGAAAGAGTGCCTGGTGTGCAGAGGCGAGGAAATGACAGATCAGCTCTGCTGAGAGGCGCTGGAGACCTGGTGATCTCCTCCAAGGCCACGCAGATAGGTCTGGCCACAGTCTGATCCAGGCTCGCTGCACTGCAAGGCCATCTGCCCTCCTCCAAAGCTTCAGCACAGCACTTCCCACACCTTCCCTCAGTCTCCATCTCAGCCAAGGCCACAGCGGCAGCATCCTGAAGAGTCTGCAAGGCTGTGTGGCTCCAGAGCTCTGCTCCAGAGCACAGCTGCGGACACCTCCTGCGGTGGGTTCCTCGGGCTCCTGGTTTGGTGTCAACCCGAAGGACTAGGGTCACAGGGAGCTGACACCACACTGGCTTTCCCCTGCTGACAGTGTCACGATAAACCATGGAGCTCCCTCTGGGCAGCTTGTCTCCTTACCTCCAAATCTACAGGACGTGGCCAGGGCCTGGAGGTGGAGGACTGCTTGAGAGGCCAGTATCAATGAAAGTGGAGTAACACGAAGCCAGAGAGGAGAGGGGACCCGGTCGTGTAGGGCCCCTGGGCCACCCACAGGACTTTCACGCCGAGACAAAGCAGAAGCCTGCGAGTATTGGGGAGTTTGAAGCGGTGACTTGACCTGGCTCTTTGCTGGCCAAAGGCTCACAAAGACATTCTACCTGTGTTCGTTTTAGGAAGTATTGTAGAAACGTGAGGCACTGTTGCCATGTTGGCAAAAGCCGTTCTCGTCTCCGTCACCACTTTCCCCGCTGCGGCGCTCGCGAACCTTCACACTTTGCCGCCACGAAGCGCCGCTACACCTTTCCGTGGACTCTCCGAACCTCCACGAGTGTCACTTCTCTTAGACTCGTTGCCGGGGCGCTGCGACCAGCCCTTCCCCGCGGCGCGTCTAGGTCCCCAGTCCTGGACCCTCCTGATGGGTCTGGGGACTGCTTCCGGCGTCCTCCCCTCACCTCCTCTTCTTGCCTAGGCACACGTGGGAAGCAGGGCCCGCAGGGCACCCGGCGCCCCTCTCCTCCCACGCCCCTTCTTTTATTTCTCTGGAGCTCCCTCCCTCCTCAGCCCCTCCCTCCGCCCTCCGCTTGCGCTCCGCCCTGCGGGTGGCCCGCCCCTGCTCCAGCCCCCTCCCTTTCCTTCCCCTTCCCGCCCCTCCCCCAGGCCCCGAGCTCCGCAACCTGCCTGGGTGAAACCCGGATCGGCCCCCGCCGGCACCTCCCCTCCGCCCGCACCCGTCGCTCGGGGCTCGGCCCCGGACCCGCCCCTCCCCGCCCCGTCTCCAGCTTGCTCCTTCCCTTTCCCAGCCAGCGCGGCCTCCTTCCCGCCCCTTTTCCACCCCAACCTGCTCCGGTCCGCCCCTTCCAGCCTCCGGCGCCTTAGGTCGGCGGCTCAAATCTGCCACTCCGGCGCCTGCTGCGCGGGCCGCCGGGACTGGGGCGCTTCGCTGGCGCGCCTGGCTGGCGACTGAACAAGTTCGGAGCGTCCCTCCTCCCAGAGAGAACTTCTAGATCCGCGGCCCCAGGATGGGGCTGGCCCCGCTGCGGCTGCTGCTGGGGCTCTTGCTCTCGGCGCTCGGGAGTGGAGGTGAGAGCTCGGGACCCGGGGCGAGCGCGTCCACCGCGGCGCTCGGGCTGCCCGACGAGTTTGCAAACATCCCGCAGCCCCACCGGGCCCGAAGTGGGGAGCGGTCGAGGCCACTCACTCGCTGACCGCACTCAGTCCCTTAGAGAGCCTTCGGAGTGTCCCGAGGGCTTCCAGGCCAGGTCCGGGTGCTTGTCCTAGTAGAATCGGTGTGGGTACTGGGGGAGCGGGTGCAGAGCTCCCCTTCAGCGCAGAGGAGGGAATCGAGCTCGGCGGGGCGAGCTTCGAGTCCCCGAGGTTTTGTTTGTTTGTTTGTATTTAGTTGTAGGTGGACACAATACCTTTGTTTTATTTTTATGTGGTGCTGAGGGTCGAACCCAGGGCTCACACGTGCCAGGCGAGCGCCCTACCACTGAGCCCCAGCCCCAGCCCAAGTCCCAAAGTTTTTGGCGGAGCGGACGTGGGACGCAAGTCTGGTCTGGACCGAGCCAAGAACTTTCCCCTAGCCCGCGTTGCGCAGTTGGGCCCTGTTCTGGCAGGATTTGTGGAAGCTGCAGACCTGGTCTCCCGGGGGACCCGCGCCCAGCGAGCGAGCTGGCTGCGGGTGTTGGAGTCGCCGGACTGGGAGGTCGCGATCGGCCGAGCCTGGGCGTCAGGCCAGGGGTGTTCTGGCGACTTCCACTGGGCCCTTACCTGCCCCGCTGGCCCGCTTTCGCACGCCCCCCTGTGATAGTGGGGACCTGGGAAAGGGGGAGCATCCTTTTCACCCCTTTGCGGCAGAAGAGGATCTATTGTGCTCGGGCGGCGTCCGGGTTCATCTCGAGTCGGTCCAGAGGGTCCCGGGCGTTTCAGTAAAGCTTTGCGTTAGTAAGCGAAGCCAGGCAAGCCAGGTTCCAGCGGAGCCGACGGCTGGTTTGGAGGGTACGTGATTGACAGATTTCAAAGGATCGCTGATGCTCTTCCGAGGAAGCTAGAAGAAACTTACCAGGCTTTACCCAAAAGAAAAAGAAATGGAAGGGGTGGAGGAGGACTAAACAAACACATCCCTCGGATTTTCCCTTCCCTAAAAGGTTTTATTTCCATTCAGCTTGCGGTTTTTGTCTCATTTAATCATGCATATGGTTGGCTAACCTTCACCTATTATTCTCAGAGATGCCTTTTAAGAATACCTGGAAAGTTTCCATTTATAGTCGAGCAACTAAGTTTTTTCCTTTGAAGGTTCAGTTGCTTAAATGAAAATGTCTTTCTTTCTTTCTTTTTTTAATACTAGGAATTGAACCCAGGGGTGCTTAATCACTGAGCCACATCCCCAGACACACACACACACACACACACACACACACACACACACACACACACACATATATATATATATTTTTTTTTAATTTTTTTTTTAAGGCAGGTTCTCCCTAAGTTGCTTAGGATCTTGCTAAGTTGCTGAGGCTGGCTTTGAACTCAAGATCCTCCTGCCTCAGCCTCCCAAGCCCCCTGGGTTACAGGTGTGTGCCACCATGCCCAGGTTAAATGAAAAATTCAACAACACATTTTTCTTATGCACGTTCAATTACATAAGCTTTTCATAATACAAGGCAAGAGAGCAATTTGAAACAAACATCAAGAGCCAGAACCAGGCAAAGAACTGAGGCACTTCTGTTCTCCACCCCCTGCCCCCACCAAATCCTCAAAAATTCCTCTGCGTTTCTGCCACATCCATTTTCTCATAATCTGTTGCAAATCTGGTGTATTTTGCTTCTAACCATGACTGGCCGTGAACAGTCTTGGAGGTAGTGAATGTGGTAGACATTATGGAAAATGTAATAAAAACAGTAGTTTTTTGTGTGTAAGATATTTTAAAAATTGGATGTTCTTCTTTCCTAAATTTTTAAAAAGCTGTAATGAGGAATTTTTGTGGCCTATGATCAGTGTTAGGCAGGTAATCATAGTTCTTTTAAGATCCACCCAGCAGGAGAACAAAAAGGCTTTCCAATTTCTCTGATCTTTTGATTTTTTTTTTTTATCTTGAAGTTTACCTGTGAGATTTCTGAGTGATCCAGCTCATCTTGTGCAAAGCATGAAGACTGGAATTTATTTATTTATTCATTCTTTTTTGAGGTGCTGGAGATAGAACCCAGGTCCCCCAGTATGCCAGGCAACTGCTCCACCACTGAGCTATACCCAGTTCCAGGATGCGACCCTCCTGGGCTGGGTTAGAACAGAGGGAAGAGTGTCCTAGAACAAGATTAAGAATGGAAATTAGAATCTGTCTAGTTGTAAGACTTTCAGATTGCATATTGTGGGCCTGCATGGTTTGCTGACTCAACAGGAAAAAAGCAAGGTGTGAATGTGTTCAGAGTCTACATTGTACAGGAATGGATGGATAATTAAAACTTAAGCATCAGTTTAACCCAGAAACTTCCCCCCTATCTGCAAACACAGACATAAACACAACCCACAAGAACCTGAACAATGCAGACCTTAAAACTGCTCATCCCCTGGCATTGCCAATCCTGCCAACACTTCCTTTCTGCTTACTCTCTCTTGGGGGCGCCAATGAGCAGCAAACCCAAGTACCAGGAGGCTTCAGGGGAGGGCCCCGGAGAGGATGGAGGAGAAAGAATAAACTGGATAAAAGTGAAGAAATGGTGAAGACCTAGCCTGAGATGGAGCTGTGCGAACTCTCAGAGCAAATTAGACTTTAATAACTGTTTAGTTAATAATAATTCTCTTCCAAGTTGATATTCCAATATATTTGTAAACATTTTCCCAGGGATAACTTTTAGTTATCATGTTGCTTATGGGCTTCATCCCAATGGCCTCAAATGCCGATCAAATGCTTTTTTGGAAGTAAGCAGACCTTTTCTTTCCTTCTTTTGCCGTGCTGGGAAGGGAACCCAAGGCCTTGCTCATGTTATGCTAGTGCTCTACCACTGAGCTACATCCCCAGCCTTGCAGGCCATATTTTCATGAATGGATGAATTTAAAAATTTACTCTGACCATTTTCTTAAAGTGCTGAGTGGAACATAGTTATTTTTTTAAATTGACAATAATTATGTTTGTAAATCTTTTTTTTTTTTTTTTTTTTTTTTTTGTGGTGCTGGTGATTGAACCCAGGGCCTTGTGCATAGGAGGCAAGCACTCTACCAACTGAGTTACATCCCCAGACCTGTAAATCTTATTTTTTGAAATAATTTCTAGATAATCCCTGGAGAAGGACCAGTGAGTAACTTGTGTCATCTGTCGCAGAAACTAGTAGTCAGTACCTGTTGGTGATGAAGAGGTTGGCTCTGAATGCCAGTGAATTGGGAACAGGCTGCCTGGTAGCAAAGCTGAGCTGGGACCTTGGCCACACATCTGTCCCAACCAGTGCTCACATCATAGCCAGAATGGGATCTTTGAAAATGAATCTGCTGGTTTAAACATCCCCAATAGCTTCCCTTTCCTTCCCCCAGGCAAAGACTTTGACTCATTTCTAGTCATTTCCCCCTGATCCTGCTGCTGGGCCACCTGGGAGGGTGCATGCCTTCACCTGGTACTTGGACGGTGTTGGCAGCAGCGCTGTCCCTCTGGCGGGAATCCTCCCCCAGGGCTCAGTGTGCTGGCTCCTTCTGGACCTTTGAATTTCAGCTCAGAGTTCACCTGAGAGCGTTCCCACTGTCCGTCACAGTTACCAACCCTTCTTCTCCAACTAGATTTAACTTGCTGGTGACAGTAATCTATACCTGATTTGTTGCTACTTGCTCTTCTCTTAATTGGCTTTTCTTCCACTGTCCCCCCACTACGAGATCAGCTCTGAAGGCAGGGGCATCCACCCGGCATCCACCCTTCCCTCCCAGCACAGGGCAGGCCAACAGGGGCTGGGGGGACACAGGAGTCTCGTTAGGTGCTTCTTCCTGGTCTCTCCCTACCGACTTTTCCAGAAACAAAATCACTGAATCTCTTGCCCGAAAGCTTTTAGCTTGATTCACAGGAAATTCTTATTTTACCTACACCTCCCCACCCGGCATCGAAGTGATTGCATTACGGGAGAAGTTAGGTAATGAAGAGAACGTAGATCTTCAGACTACAGAGACCCCCAAAGTATTTTGTATTCTAACCATTCCATCTAGGAAAGTAAGTCAAAAACTGGTGTGTGTGTGTGTGTGTGTGTGTGTGTGTGTGTGTGTGTGTGTAAAGCAGTTTTTACAGCTCCTTGGCCAGGGGCACTTTGCTTTGAGTGCCTTGATTCTGACCCATGATCACTAGTTTAATCTTAATCCACAGCACATGGCTATGGGTTGGTATGCGTCTCTGCAGAGGAGTTTAATTATTATAAACACTGAAAAAGAGCCTTCCCATATGTGCTTCTCGGAACTGGAATCAAAACACTGAGAGGCCTGACCTCTGCGGGCCCTGGGGAACCAGCTGACCCTTAGGACCTCCAGTTTATTTTTGGTGCAGTGGGATCCATTTCATGCTGTCAAGAAGGATGAATTGAGCTAAGGATATATAGTAAATGCTCAAAAAATGTTAGCCATAATTTCCCTCTCCATTTCTAAACTCAAATTAGAGGTAATCGCTTTTCCTAGACAAAAGGTGTTCGGCAGAAGGCTTTTTGTTTTGTTTTGTTTTGTATCAGGGATTGAACCCAGGAGCGCTTAGCATCCCCAGCCCTTTATGTTTTTTTTATTATTTATTTATTTCATACCAGGGATTGAACTCAGGGGCACTTAACCACTGAGCCACATCCCTAGCCCTGTTTTTATATTTTATTTAGAGACAGGGTCTCACCAAGTTGCTTAGCAGCCTTGTTTTTGCTGAGGCTGGCTTTGAACTTGCGATCCTCCTGTCTCAGCTTCTAGAGCCGCTGGGATTACAGGCGTGCGTCACTGTGCCCAGCCATGTTTTTTTATTTTGAGACAGGATCTCACTGAATTGCCAAGGACCTCCCTAAATCACTGAGGCTGTCCTCGAACTTGCAATCCTCCTGCCTCAGCTTCCAGAGCGACAGGGATTACAGGAGTGT